CTGCCCCAATACTTCTGAGACTTGCTGTAAAAGTAAAGCAACAGTTCACAGATCATGCCTCCAGATGACGAGTGGCAAGGAATTCAGGTTTATTTTCTTAATATTAATATTTCAATTCCCATATAATGTCACTTTTGAAGTTACATTTTTACACTCTAGCTTAAATATTTCATTATTGACATATGCCAATTTTGTCAATTCCACTAAAATCAACCATCTTTTCAGAAGACAAGTTACATCTCTATTTACATATATATTCAAGATGAACTGAACAAATACTGACATGATTTCTGTAGAGATCGTATTGCAGGCACTGGCAGAGATGGTGGTAAAACACCCAAAATGATAATATTATTAACGGTCACCTCCCACTACAGTAACGCTGAGGATGACTGATTTGGAAAAAACCGTACCGCAGAAATTTCCATTCCCATGACTTTCGACAAACTTCTTGATAAATACTTAATGGGAGGTTCGGACTGTTGCTAACACTAATGACCCAGATAAAATAATCAATAAAGAATCATAAATAACCAATTATCAGATGACGGAATGCAGTGTGGTGTCAACGGGTGAGCTTGACGTTGTCCAACTCTGAAATCGGATCAGTGTCGACCTCAACGAAAACAAACTGTCGACAGCGATATCATAGGTTTATAGACAACACCAGAAAAGACATGGTGTAAACGAATACTTACCCATATCATCAAACTCTCACAAAGCTCTACGCTTGACATTTTACCCTGAGATGTCCTGCTACCTTTCGTTTCAGGCAATTTTTTAGAGGTGTATCACAACGGTCAAACGGAATACCGGATAACGAGATATAACACTGACACTGAACGTAACGAAGATATCGCAGTAACAAGTAAATTATGTTTGTTTTAACTTTTGGCGGATATTATTTGATATTATGACAACTATCAATAGTAATACACTATATATATATATAATACTTTTATATTTTATTATTGTTTTTTTGGAATATGGCCGGCTATAGTGTGTTTATATTGATGAATAATCGATCTATTAATCAAGAGCTAGCGCAAAACAAGCGCGTTAACTGTAGAACCACATTCCAATAAATAATTGGTAGTTATTAACCACTTACAACTTCATATTCTTGAATTGAAAAATTATTACGAATAATAAATTGATTTCAGGAAAAGGATAGTAAATTTAAAGTTTCTCAAAATATACAAACGAATCATGTGTTTGAAATATGCCATTGGACGGATGGGAAACACCTTTCTCTGTACGACTCGTATATTCGTCGGGACGGACCAGTTGACTCATACTCGAATTGAGATGTTTTTGACGTCTTCTTCGCAAGTAGCCGCTACAATATGAATACCCCTGAAACTGGTACAATTTTAGAAGGTATCGGTGACGAAGTAGTCCAGAGTTTCGTGATTGTACTGTGTATATTCCTTCCTATCCCGATTTTCGTTTGGAGGTGAGTCAGTCAGTCAATCATGGTGGGTTAACCATCTGACATGGGACACTAGCAAATGCGGAAGTAAGTGTAGTTTTCAGTGTGGACGTCCAGTACAGTAAAGTCCAATACACAACTCGGTACATGATATACTCAGTATATAACTTGATTTTTTTAAACGAAACTGACGCTGTGCTGTGACCGATTTGTATTCAACAAGTACCTTTAGTCTAAATACATGTAGTAGCATTAATAGGTTGATGAACCTTGTAAACAAGGGATGACGTGTACAACAAAATAATCATACCGGTATTTTTTTTATATCTCAAGTTAAACATTATAGTACGGTGTTTTTTTGCCTTTTGATTTTGATAATATTATGATAATTTTCCCGTGTACAGTATATTTATTTATTTATTTTTTTATTAGACGCATAAAATCCTTAGGAAAGGATAAAAACGGTCTTACATAAAGAAATTAAAAAAAAACTACAATCTAAAGAAGAAAACAAAAAATAAAAACTTTTCTAAAAAAAAAATAAAACAAGTCAAAAACAAAAAAAGACAATTTGCAGCCAATGGTGAATACAGAATATAGAATGA